ATCGTGTTTTCGTCTAACATAGTCCTTAACATTAATCCTCAAATTTACCATATATTTATTTCAAAATTAATGCTGCAATATTTTCGGCATAACGGAGGATCTTGCTAAGCCATATGAGATTATACATATTTCCCCTTAAGTTCTAACGAAATAACAACAATTGAATAAATCAGTCTTCTTTATTATTAATTATTCAATATTCATTGCAATATTAATTTCGATAATTGCAATAGTATGTACGTAAGTATATAAAAAATGTAAAGAAATGGTCAAATTTAAAAAGCCTAACAAAAGCCGGACACCGTCTAATTTGGTCGGACACCGTCTAATTTGGTCGGACACCGTCTAATTTGGCCGGACACGCAACCAAAAACCGACACGTCTGACAACGCTACCTACGGTAGTTTTCTGTTCGAAATTTTGCGGGCAAAAAGGAATTGCGTAAGTGTGTGGTCGACCCGTTCGTTCCGTTTCGAAATTTCAACTCTGGATTCCGAACGCAGCAAGTCCATACAAAATCAATGACCCGTCACACACCTACGGTGTTTTGCCGTCCGAAATTTTGCTGGCAAAACGGGATTCCGTAAGTGTGTGGCGGACTCGTTCGTTCCGTTTCGGAATTTCGAAACGCAGTCCCGAAACGAAAGTCCTAAAACGTCTCGATTAAACGTGTTACTACTCGCTTAACTGTGATCAGTCGCAATAATTGGCAGCATCATTATAAAACGATAATCGATAAATTATTTTTCGAACACGTCAGCGAGGCCACATGTTACAGAACATTAAACAGTCGACAGGCTACTGCGAAGTGACGTAATACATCATTAAGCAGTAACCTCTGTTGGACGCAACGTTTATCCCATTTTACACTTGTAACATTATCTATGACATAATGTAACACACTGGCTGGGCAGCTCGATTAGGGTAACCAATTGCTTACGAAGAGTGAGACAGGGTGTGGAATATTATACGTCTTTTTTATAATAGAAGTGACCAAAGAACTCACAGTCCATCTGATAAGTGGGAACTACCTTCTATTCTATGGCCATCTGCAGCCAATGGCTACAGGTACGTTGTCAAATCTGACGACTAAGATGGATAAGCTTAATGCTGCTGTGTTTTGTATGGTGAGTGTGGAGTACCGGAGACCCTTTATACTGAAAACGATCCATTTCATTTTAGTCGTCAAGGGTGCCAACGGGGCTGTATTTCGATGTTAAATGAAGGATACATGAAGGTGCCTATGGTCACAGCATCCACTCATGATCAGGTCGACTGTCTACTCATGACAGTCGTTATTTGTTCGCGGTTATTTGTCAAATGAACTTACAGTTCATTTGACAAATAACCGCGTCTTTTTTATGACTGGAAGGGCGCCATCTTGTGAAACCATCAATAACTTGGGATTTTATTTTTAGCAAGTTATTTAGTTTGATTTATTCTATTATCTTATTTTTAATAAAATCCCCGAATTTTACGATTTTTACGGTATAGTGTACATAGACTTGACCTGAAATGGACTGTCTCCTTCATTAGCCTTTGAAATGTTAGCAAAACCATATTTTCATATAAATCTCGTGTAACATTTTAACGAGGTTACAAGTTTTTTGACATTTTTATGACCTAGGAAGACCCTTACATTTATTGGATATAGGAAGGGAAACTAGATTTCCTTTTAGGTGATATATTTGTTAATGGCCCGTAATCAGCCCACAGCTAAACACCTTTTGCAAGTGTTTTGCTCATTGCTGTATCTTGACGCATGTTTATTACTTTTTTATACTCTAACGTTGGACCTATGTTATATTCGATATTGTATTTCAATAGTGCTGCTATTAAGCGATGAGATATTGAGAAAATTGTATGGCATAACTTAGTTGGGTAGACATTTGTCATTCACTCATTTCTAGTGACCTATTCAAGTAGTGATTCGTCTTAGGAATGGGATTGAAAATGACGTCGCCTCTATTCACATCTCCCTCGCACACTGTCGCTATCTATAGTCACACTCGCCAGTAAAGACTGCAAAAAAATACGTAGCAATATGCGTTTTTCTAAAGTTCTATAACTTCCATCCAACTTTTCATTGGAATCAATGATAACAAAATGCCATAAACTACAAAAAAATTCAGTTCGGTTTCGCTAATTTGTGAGCGAGACGGGTTCTGAGAGTTTTTATCATAATAATAATTAATTGTGATTTTGTTTCTTAATATTTTGGTATGAAATATTTACACGCTATTGAGACATAAGTGATAATTTTCAAAATTTTCGTTTGTCTGTCCGTCCGAGTCCAAACTTCGAAATAAGTGAACCTGTTGTAATAAAACGTTACGAATATATCTAATCTAAACTAAATTCTATCTGAAAAATTTAGAGACTATTAAAATAAAAGTATTTATAATATAATAAAATGGTCTTTAACCACTCGTGATCCGTCATTCTATGGACCTATTAGTCAGACCTATGGTCAAGCCAAAGAGTACAGTAGGTTTGGCCAGACAATTTTTTTAAATGAAGGTAAATATAACTTAGAGTCATTACCATGTTCTTATCCAAAAATAAAAATTGTTAACAATTAATATAACGAATTATTTGTATGAAGGTCACGTGAGCGCCAGAGAAACGACGATTGTAAGACGTTGTTGACAAATAAAATGTTTAATGAAATAGTACAGTAAAAATAGAATTTAACATTGCAGGAAATTTCCGATTCAATTTTTTTATGAGGTTTAGGATCACTTATTCAGCATAAAATCACAAAATGCCGACAGATCCAGGTGGCGCTTCAAGCGCAATCTTGAAAAAACGTTTTCAGCCGATATCTCGGAAACTATGCACTTTGTGGCAAAAGTTATACAAACCATTATCGTAGAAAATAAAATTTCGCATCTTTTGTTTCCAGTAAACTTTTTTGTAAAACTTACCGTTTACGATTTATGGCCCATTTAATGAACAGGTTTTTCTATCGCGGCCAATAACTTGAAATATTAGATTAATCAATAAAATGCATAAATTTATTTTGAAAGATCAGTTTATTTTCCAAAACTTTTGTTTGCAATTTTTTTTTCTGATGTCCATACTTTTTGAGTTATAGGACGTTTCATGTTTGACTACCGGGCGTTATAGTTGAAAATTTCGAGATACGCATAGCTGCCGCGTCACCCGCCGAGCTCGACCGACGCTCGCAGGTAACGCGGCAGCTACTTTACGATTAAGAACCCGGATTTTATTGCTATTTCCTCCTCTTTTTTTTTTTTGTTGTTTTATTGACCTCGGACTTTTAAGAGTTAATGATTATCTTGTTAAATAACGCCACATTTATAAATTCCACCTAGACGAAAACCGAGCGGGTGGCAAGTTATAGATGTTATTTTGAAATTATTGTACCTACTTGCATATACAATGCTTTTCAAATATTTTCTCAGTAATAGAAAACGTCTAATTAACCGAATAAACGATATACCGTTATAAGCGGGTTTTCGCTGAGTCGCCATTTCTAATCTCATTCTTTATCCGTACGGGCTATGGTCGAGTTTTACGAAATTCAGCGGAGCCAGCACAGTTGACATTTTATGATCGTTAATGCTAATAGAAAATAAAAAAAAGAAAACCGTAAAAGTGAATAAAGCTTTTGATTTTAACACGCTTTTATTAGCTTCGCGTGTATCTGTCTATCTATCTATCTATCTATGTAACGGAATCTTCTAATACGATTTTCACAAATTTGTAGACAGCTGATTGACTTGAAAATATGCAATTGTATCAAGCACCGACGAAAATACAATAATTTAATAACTTTATTAGATTTTCGTCATTTCAGATGATAGTATCTTCTTGCCCACTTTATTTAACACAATTTTAGTAAACACGATGAGCTTTACCGGTTTACGGACATAAGTTCTACCTATGACGCAAACGGAAACATAAATATCCTACGGTCCGACAGCCGCTGTCTCATTTTACTGCATTAACTTAGTCTTACAGATCGTACGGGACTTGATTTCGAACTTAAAATACAAAATTCTATACAATGTATATTTTCAATAATAATATTCAAACTACAATCACGTACGTTAAACAGGGTGCTTCACACACTTTCTACGAAGCATAACGCTCGTATTTTTAACGACTGTGAACTTCAATGCAATAAATTAGCAAAAAATACATAGTTGAAAAAAAATTGAGACATTGTGCTTTTACTGAGACTATGTTTTAGGGATTTGTTCTTTCGATTTTATTCGTCACAATTACCTCTATAATTGAGACAGCGAGTATATTTTACCTCTTTTACTGAGACTATATTTTGTGTACCGTTTTTGTTTACAAATTCTTATTCTACCCGCAAATTCTGTACTTGGATAATCGTGTAAAAGTGACCTCCAGTTTTAGTTTGGTTTTACTACCGTCCGGGTGTTTATTTGAAAATGCCGAAGCGAAGGCTTGAGTCTTTATCAGTACGTGAAAAACTAAAATTAATATCCGTTTATGAAAGTTGAAAGCTTAGAAATAAATTAATAGCTTTTTAGATTTTATTAACATTACAACGCATGTATAATGTTTACAAAATACGTTATTTTATTTAATAATCGCACCTTTATAACTGAAATAACCTCTATTCTCAGCTCTATTAATGGAACCCTCTGTATATGAGACAGATATTGATTTATACCTGGATATCTGAGACACTGGGTAGTGTGAATACCTCTTTAAGTGGGACAAATTTGAAGGTCCCAGTTATCTAGGTTTCACTGTATTGTGTATTACAGATGCAACGTGACTCTACCACATACAAAATATTCTGTTATTTGAAACAGCTTAGCTATTTCATTATTACCGTATTAAAAACGTATAGATAATTTCGACAAAGGCAAATTACAACTTTATTAGCAAGTAGGCCTTTTCGCAACTTTTTCGACGTCAAAGTTATAGTCATTTTGTAGTACATAACTATTCAAATATCGGTGAAAGTTCAACGGATCAATGTAGTAAACACTTACGTTTGTCAGTAGACAATTTCATCTTCTCCAGTGACGTGGCGTCGCGGTCGTTATAGATGAGGACCGCAGAGGCGTTCGCGCGCCACGCATTTTGCACCTAGAAACAGGAAGAAACGGATAACAACTATTGGGTTCTCCAACTGTTTACGAGCCGAAGCTCGATCCTCGCAAGCGCCATTAACACTGTTAAGTTGTAATTTTAAGTGCTGGTTTACCACGTGCAAAACATCATGAGAAAACCTGAGTCCGAAAGATGTTTTTTTTTTAATTAATAAGAAACAATGCTATTAACATTACTAAAATTTCAGTTAACCACTGCTGGTAATCTTAACCCTTTCCCTGACCCATGAATCATATAATATGAACTTTCAATTGTCTAACTATTGTGTCTTTTTCGCGGGCAGGGAAACTGTTAAAATGCTTGTGTGAGGAGTTGTTCCCGACAAATAGTCGAGTGTCGGATTCGAACCCACGACCTTTGAGTTCACGGCCCGAACCCTACCATTCAGGATTTAAAAGATTTCTAGTGCTCTAGTTCGACAAGATAATTCGCACACGCACGCACACGCATACACATACGAACACACACGCACACACTATCAAATTTTTAAAAAGTTAAGAATTCTTCAGGTTTTTAAATGGTATTAAAATTAAATTAATAGCATGCACCTATAAGTGATTGTACATTTAGAAATAAGACTACAGTAATTTTATTTAAGGATGTAAGAATGTATCAGTTGGTAATCCAAATAAATAAGAAAAGCCTCTTAAAAACAGAGGCCTGTGCGTAGCAGAGAATGAATTCCTCTGCTCCTTTCTCTTTTTTAAGTTGATGACAAGTGGATGCAATGAGACTAACACCCATCATTGATTAAGTATTGAGTTGTGTAAAGATGGACAGCATCAATACCTGTATAAAGGGTTTCTCCGGTTCTCACCTTTTACACACTCACCTTACGTAACAGTAATATTATAGGAAAATGATATTTTACGCTAGTATTCTGTTCGAGTCCTTTAAGCCATACGTGTAGACGTTAGTGATCAAGATAAACAAACTATGTTTATTCTCCTTGTAGGTATAGTAGTTTCCATAGATCACAATAAGCATAAATTACTGTATTATATCTATAACAAATCTTCCGAAGATAAAAAAGGCGAAATAACGAAGATACTAATTTTAGTTAGGCAGGTAAAATCATTTCTGACAGTCTCGTATTAGCAAACAATGTACAATAGTTAACTGACCCAGCAATCAACCAGAGTGGGATACACAGTGCCGACACTACCGACACTACCGACACTACCGATAGTGGTAATTTAATGTTACGAACTTGTTACTCAACTAATTGGTCCGTTGCTTGGAAGTAAATGTGTTGTTTGTATGCAAATATCTGCATACAAACAATACATTTGGGAGGATACGTGATTACTCCCTTTTTTATAAAGGTAATGGTACAATAAACTTTACAAAAATTCAACATTATCTTATCTGTCCCCCTAAATTCACTTGCTTTTCCTATATACCAATTTTAGTTGTAAGTCGTAATCATGTGTGTTAACCGTGAAGTTACTTCGACCTAATGCACTATCGATTACGATAGGTTATCGTACTACATTGTTCCGGTAATCTCTTCTGTTTATAGTTCACAGGGCGTTGGAGATAAGCTAAGCTCTCTGTCAGACTGGGGGATTATCTAACAGCGCAACAAAGTAATATACTCACCAACAAATATACTCAATATATCACGTGTGAGTAACTACAATTGTTGCGCTTGAAATCATTTGTGAAACAACAAAACACGCGTCAGCAGTTTTAACCGACCTTACAAAAGCGATGAGGTTATCAATTTGACTGATGTATGCAATATGATATAACATATCCGGGGTTAGTGAATAGGTTACTGCAACATCAGAGTGCATTAAAACCGCTTCACAGGTGTTCTCTCCGGCTGATACTACGTATCTTTCCTACCCGGGTTACAAATTGGAACACTCGTTTGTGCCCCGGGCCGGACTATTCGTAAATGTCAGAGAGGTTGTCTGTTCTCGATGCCTCGGCAGTCTTGAAGGTACGTAAGGAGATCTGTTAAAGACTTTGCTTTGGCACATGGACTGACACAATTGGTTACTTTTTTGTAGGTTAATTGCTTAGCAGATCCGATAATGAATAAAATAATATACAGGCTGTCCCAAAAATCAACATCAAGCCGGAAACGGGTGATAACGGGTTAGTTCATCAGAAAAATAAAATAAAAAATTGAAATCAAATATTTTTAAAAATAATAGACAGTTTTTTTATACGGGAAAATCTAATCTACTCCAATCTTTATTTTTTTATATTATTTATATTATGAAATCCTGAATATTGCTTCTGTAAATTGTTGCCTAAAATATAAAGCCAACTACTCAGCTGGGAAGAAAATGTCACTTTTAGCCTAAGTAAGTAGATATTCAAAGTTAATACTTCACCCAATTTTAACTGATTATTTAGATGAAAAAAATGTACTACGCTATTTTGGCAAATAACTTTGTAAATTGGCGCATTTGATATGCATTCGAAAATGGTATGACACTTTTTAAATTATTTATTGCTGACTCAGTTTTGAACAATTGTTTATTACTTAAATGATTTTAGTGTACCCAAGGCTTTCCTCAACGCCGATTCCTTACAGAAGCATTATTCAGAATTATATAGTAAAAATAATATTTAAAAAAATTGTAAAACGGGAGTAAAAGACAATCACAGGGTGCAGATTTTCTCAACTTTTTAAAATGCCTATAATTTAAAAAAAATATTTAACTTAAATTTTTTGTTTTATTTTTCTGATAACTATCATGACTTCGTCTATCACGCATTTCCAGCTTGACGTCAATTTCTGAGACATCCTGTATTTTTAGATATTCAATCATGTTGATATGATTGGCGAGGTTGTAGGATAAATCTTTCACCCATAATATCTATATATACACTTTAAGTGGGCATTTCTTGTTTACGATATATAATATTATTGAAATGAAATGAAATGAAATATTTATTTGCTTTATTTATCAAGTATATCTAGATATCTATTTAAATTATTACTATATATCTATGTAGAGAAATTTATCCTTGAATTATTTTAAAGTCAAGCACAGCTCGTTCGCCCAGATACTAAAAATATTATGTACATAGGTGATATCATGTGACACATCTGTTGTGAAATCAGTAATTTAATAACATAATACTTCGTGTGACATATCTCTGTATTCCTCTTTCATACACTGTCTTTTTTTAATCACCTACCTTAATCTCAAAGTTGCAACTGCCTCTCCTAATAACAGCGATCCAAGGTTCAGAGGGCAGTGGTTCTGTGGGCGCGGCAACAGACAGCAACGGCCACTTGCACCCGCTGTGGTCACGCTCTCCGTCTGGACCAGAAGCCCTCACATGGACTGCAACCCCGCGGGACGACCCCACGTAACCTTCGCCGTATTTACCAGACTGTGAACAATAACGGGAAATAATAAATAAACGGACCTTATAATTAATTTTAAGCATTTATACCCTAGACTGGAGCATCCAAATGCCTAAATATTTCATGTTAAGCAAATACAAATTTATTTATTCACCGTCATAATTATTAAGGAAGGATTTTTTCTAAGACGGACAACTGTCCACGGTTACTGTTTATTACTTTTTGTCTTTGTATTTTCTTTAAGGTACGGACAGACGTGCTCATTACTAGCACGAAAGCATGCTTTTATTGAGCAAGTGCAAGTGCTCATTAGTACCACGTGTGTACACTCATTGCTACACATCAGCGTGCTTATTTTGAGCGTGTACAAAAATCCACCGACGTTTGATTTTCGAGCATGCTACCCGAGATGCGGGTAGAAAAGCATGCTCCGAGTGCGTCTGAACTTAACAGGATTGCTTATGAGCATGTTTTATCAAATCGATCTCGATTCGCGACAGTTGCTGCTTCAATTTAAAATAAAAAGACACTCGATATGTCGCGATGGGGGGAAGAAAATACTTTGTTTTTTTTCTTACACCATTCGGTTGGAAGCAATGTGATTATTTTATTAAGTTCTGTACGGATAGCACTGTCACTATATCTTTGTACATCCATTTCAGCCGAGAACCTGGTGCCAAATAGCACGTCTCACGCTTTGAGCGTGCTTATTACTGGCAAATGTGAACAGTTGCAGAGCATGCTCAATTTAAGCAAGCTTGTGAGCAAGCTTTTTTAAGCACGTCTGTACGTACCATTACTTTCAATGCTAATTGCGTTATTATATAATAAATATATATATATATATATATATATATATATATATATATATATATATATATATATATATATATATATATATATATATATACATATATTAAGTGAACAATACATAAATTAATTGCGTAATCAAAAGCCGTAACACTTTTACACTAGTTCGAGAAAGAAGATGGGCAGTAAGATCTTTTTAAAACAACTTGATATAATAAAAAATTGCAGTTGCCAACCCGCTTGCAAAGCGTGGAAACCATGGTGAAATCATCAGGAATCTATGAGTGCAGCAATTTAATTTTGTTGCCCGTAATGGAATCTATTAATATACATAATAAATAATTATTAATTTTTATTGTCCAATTTCTAATATTGATATGTGAAAATGGAAATCTTACTGAAATTTTAGGGATTTATCGTTTTGTGCGGAGTTTTTAGATCATCAACCAAACAGCTGGAGCAGCGAAGGCGAACACTCCCTCCGTGTTTCCGACTAAAAATACTCTAGATGAGATGTAGTGTAAAAGAATAAAGTGGAGTGGGGCTTTGTTTCTTTTTTTTATTTTGGGGATCCAGAGGCTTTTTGGAAAAATAAAAGATTTGACAGCGTACAAACAGTTCTTGTTCTAGAGAGAGTAGATTTTTTTACAATATGTCTAAATTATGCCTAATATTAGTACCACCGGCGACATTTAGACCTTAAAACCTGTCACACAAATGGTGAAATTACATTTAAAGAAAAACTTGTTTAATGTCCTCGTTATGTGCTCCACTTCCAGTTGATACGGCAACATATAAAAGATAAGTAGAAAATGAGTTTATACGTGTATTATTGTTGTGTTTACTTGGGATTTTGATGTTTCTTTCCATTGTCTAAATTGGCCATATTTTCTTATTGCATTGAGTGGGGTTTTATGGCGCAAGATTTGGGGTTATTCCAAATCTTGTTTTATTAGCAAGATGATATAACAAACAAATACGTAATAAATACTTAACGAGACCATTTTCACATATTGTAGAAAATCCCAAAAAACCGAACGTAGATCGGCACCGGCACGGGCGCAGTGCAGAAGCCTTGCAGCCCGGGCACCGGTGACGTCGTGCCTTGCCGGATTGCCGGTGAAAGGATAAGCGCCCGTTGCTGTTTATAAAGCTGGGCCTATTTAGGCCTTATTGCGCCTTTTTGCATATTGTTGCAAACCGTAAGCCCCAACGGCAAAATCAAAAAATATCCATGATATTTTATGTTCAACGCGAGATGTCACCACATTTTTTTGTCACCGGCAAATAAAATATAATCACTACGTTTAGTCACCGGTCCAACGCAGCTAGCTACGTTTAGAAATAAAACATTGAACCAACATATTTAAATACATTTTGTATACGACATTAAAAACAGATATATTTCAGGACGCAAATAAACATAAAATCAGGGTGCTTTGAAGTGTAATAAAATTACAAGACTGTTTCTGTACTGTCTCATAAGTACATAATCGATTCGTGGAGAGGATACGTAAATGTGTCGGGGTCAAAAGTGAAAATGCATATTAATATGTTTGAAGTAATCTTGCTCATAAAACATCACTGATATAAATTAAGCTACCTATTATATTATTACAGACTTTCAATTGAATATTTAAGGGCGTAAAAATATTGCCAATAATGAATAGCTTCAATATTTTCATGTATGGATCATAACAATCCAAATTCTAAAAGACCGTAGACGCAGAGATAGAATCACTATCGTCATCATTACAGCCCCTTCCAAAGTCTACCGCTGAACATGGGACTCCCCTAAGGAATGCCACAAAGCACGGTCCTGAGTAACCTGAATACATCGACTTCCTACTTGTCTTACCACATCGTTATTCCATATAGTGGAGAGCCGCCGTACACTTCGCCTACCGGTACGAGACTGCCACTCGAGAACCATTCTTCCCCGTCGGTTCTTCGAGCTATATGACCGGTCTAATGCCACTTCAGCTTAGTAATCCATTGGGCTATGTCGGTCACTCTGGTTCTACTGCGGATATTCTGATTTCTAAGTTTATCACGCAGAGAAAACCCGAGCATGGCCTTGATTGTCCATGACCTTGAGCTTTCTCATACGCAATAGAGATATAATAAGGAAGAGTAATTGTAAAATTGATTAAATCGACTGTCATGTCACTACATTTATCCACGACTAAGAATGCACTATGCATTTTTCAGTATTCCGTTGCCAGTAAAATGTCTCTGGATCTCGCCACTCACCATAGGAAACAGCAGCATTACGCTGCTATTCTATGAAAACGTGGTTCTTTACGCGATCGAGCAGACCCACCCGTGGTGCAGTTGCAGCATGACTCTACCATGTAAGTATGTAAAGACAAAATTATAATGGCGGCCCGTTTAAGTTTGTAGTCGTTGAAGATGTTTCAGGAATGTCCTGTCTGTTAATCTGTTTTAGAGTTTTAAGGGGATATAGTAAGTCAGCTCAAATTCTAATTTCGCCCCCACTTCCCCGCGCGTCGTATGCTATGTACCGAAATGTTTGTAATCACTAATACTGTAAGTAGATAGGTCGTTAGATACTTATTTCATTAGGTTTATCATATTTATGCCTGTTTCTTAACGCCAACCCAGTCGCTTCTTATTTTTATTACGGTTATTTCCCATTTTAATTTTACGTCGTCCTGTTGCGTAATGTGTGGTCTGATCGTAAGCGACACAACCTCCCCCTTCAAAAGCCTAAGCGATACTAACGGGGCGACAGGAATCAAGCTTCCAGACGCCGATAGTTTAGGTAATTTCTTTTTACAGTGAAAATAATGGTATTTAAAAAAAAGTAAATAACATAAGCACTGCTTTATAGTTAGTTCCGTTAGTATGCAAAGTTTCATGATCGTATTTAAAGTATTTTATGAATAACAGCGGTTTATTGTTCAGTTTGAAATATTCAGATATTTTACGGAATCGTGTTTTCGTCTAACATAGTCCTTAACATTAATCCTCAACTTTACCATATATTTATTTCAAAATTAATGCTGCAGTACTTTTAGCATAACGGAGGATCTTACTAAGCCATTTGAGGTTATATTTCCCCTTAAGAAAAGGACGACGACTGACGAATCAGCTCCCGATGAAAACTGATCGCTATTGTGGAAATACACAAAATCGACATTTTCGTAAAATTATTTTCGACGAAAAAGTAGTAAATATTAGTTTACATTTATAAATACTGAAAATTTTTTATTGAAAATGTCATACATATAGACTGATGTTTAAAAACATACTGCAGTTAATATGTTAGTTGTAAGAAACAGTTTTATAAAAAAGTAGGCGGCGTGTCGCTGATATTCATAAAGAATATTGAGTAGACAGTCATAATTCTACTTTACCCATAAATTAAAGACTTCACAGACAGTATATAAACAATAATTTCTCAATTTTACCATTAGAGGAAGAAGCTGTATTTTTAAATCACCTTAACTCCATACTTTCCAAAATTTAGTCTGGATAAATTTAGATAAGATAAACGAAATCCTACATTATATTTATATTTGGAAAACATGTCAAGTTTGCCAACACGCATTGGGGCAGCGCGGCGGACATTTCCTTGCCCTAAACCCTTCTCAGAAATGTGAGGAGACCTGTGCCCAGCTGTGGGACGTATATAGGTTGTAACTTAACTTTAATACGAAATCCTAACTACAACTTATGTGATACTGTGTTGAAAAAGACAGATAATTAAAAGTTGAATTAAGTGGATCAGTTACATGTTTTTAGAATTAGATCTTAAATTATAAACAAAACAGTGCATTATGTTCAATCTTCGATCAACAATATTGTTGATCGAATTTTCAATCTAATAGTAAATCTATTTACCTTGCATAACGTTTAAATTACTACAAACAAATTTAAATACATAATTCTTTAAATCCGTAAAGCATAACACACTTATAATAACATCTTATCCTTTATTACTAAAGCTTTATTACGCCAAGAGAAAAGGGCAGGTTAAAGTAAGTACGAAAAGCACTTATTTTCTAATAATATTAGAGTCGGTCAATGACTAGCACAAAAAGCTCGGAATTTCATATGAAAGTTAAAAAAATAAGAAAAACGTTAAACATGTTTCAATCATTTTTATCTTAAAATAACAATATCTACACCACACGCCGTACAGTGAACCCAAATTTGACCCACATAAAAAAACTTTATAAAATAATACTATACATACGGAAAATAGTTGTGTGAAAACATTAACGCGATATTTCGTTCGATATAAATCATACAGATGACATTAAATCGCTGTTTAATGTACCTTACAGAGATCCCATGAAACCTTATAAAACTTATATCTTACGAGGGTGGATTGAAAAGTACTCGGCCTAACACAGATCCATTCAATTCTAAAAATCAAATCTACCCACATTATTTAGTTCAGTTCAGACTAGTTCATTGTGTGAAGTTCGAAACATGTGCGATAATTAGTTGTGATTTTATAAATTTATTAACAAAGTAATCGGACATAATTTCCGCGAATGGAGCAAATCGAGCAGCGTGCCGTCATTAAGTACCTCCATAAGAAGGGGCTATCATCAAAAGCCATCCATGATGACATGATCAGTACATTAGGCGATTGTGCTCTGTCATATTCATCCGTCAAAAAATGGATAGCAGAATTTAAGCGTGGTAGAGAGAGTGTGAAAGATGAACCCCGCTCTGGAAGGCCTTCGACGTCAACTACTGACGAAAATATTAAAAAAGTACTTGATTTAATAATGGGAGACCGCAGATTAAAAATTAGAGAGATAGGCGAGATTATAGGCATCTCTTATGAACGAACTCAAAACATCATTGTCAACGAGTTGGGTTTCCACAAGGTGTCTGCGAGGTGGGTTCCGCGACTGCTTTCAGTTGAATAAAAAAGGACGCGATTGACTATTTTACGCGACTGTTTGGAGTTATTTGAAGCCGATGCAGATGATTTTTTGTCTCGTTTTGTTACTATGGACGAAACATGGGTTCATTACTGTACACCGGAAATAAAACAACAATCAAAACAGTGGAGAAGACCTGGTTCACCACCCCCTAAAAAGGCTAAGTCGATTTTGTCGGCAAATAAGGTGATGGCTTCAGTATTCTGGGACTCGAAAGGTGTGATTATGATTGATTATCTTGAAAGGGGTCTGACTATAAACTCTGATTACTACTGCACCTTACTACGTCGTTTACGAGAGGAAATAAAAGAAAAACGTCGAGGAATGCTCAGAAGAAAAGTCCTGTTTCATCAAGATAACGCCCGTGTTCACACGTCAGTACAGTCAATGGCTGAAATTCACAACTGTGGCTTTGAACTGTTACCGCATCCGCCGTATTCACCTGATCTGGCACCATCAGACTTCTTTCTGTTCCCTAACCTAAAAAAGCACTTGGGAGGTCAAAGATTTTCGACAAACGACGAGGTCAAAGCAGCTGTAGACGCATATTTTGACTCTAAGGAAGAATCATTTTTTTCAACGGTCTAAATGCTTGGAAGGGGAGGTGGCAAAAGTGTATTGAACTTGATGGTGATTATGTAGAAAAATAATAATATAACTGATTTAGTATGTGTTTATTTTCTTGGTTAGGCCGAGTACTTTTCAATCCACCCTCGTATATAAAAGTCTTACTTTAAATTCATTTAAAGTTGAGAACACATTATTAAAATTCGTTTCAACAAGTCAGAATCAAACAGTTCAAGCAAGCGGCCAGGGTTAGTGTGCGCCAAGAGTATAAAAATTGTTGATGTCCAAAACATCTTTGAGATATGACGTACGTGGGTTTTATTATGCATGTCATTTGGCGCATTATATACTCAGGTATAATATCTATTGGTAGATGTAGGTAATGATAAGGCTGATAAAGAATAGAGAAATTAAAAAACTGCACACCTCCGTGAATCCCCCGAAAAAGCAATTGTATGACTATGACTACATATCAACGCTGCAATCAAAGGCTTGGCGCTGGTGAACATAGCGCTACTGGGGTTCTGGGTATGTAAAACTACGATTCAGCATAAAGTACCCGTGATTGATTTTGGTACATTATATATAAACAAAGGTAATATATAATTTCCAAAAATAAAAACAGCTTTATTTCTGTTCGTGTGTAGATTTAAGGTGCCTGTTCGAGCAAAATTCTGCGCTTGTCGTTATTTATGAAGTTTTGAGGAGCTGTCTACTTGTTACTAAAAGATATATCAACTAATAAAAGTCTATAAAATTTCTACATAATCCATCATGATTCCATAACAGCCAATTTGATTTTTTTAAAAGCAGTAAATACTTGATGAATCTTCCTACAACTAAACCACATAAAATGCGAAATAATTATTGATAACATGCATCTCCTCATAAAGTAAGCATTATTTTATTTCGCGATTGACAATAATGGATAGGCAATTTATTAATAAACATTTTGATCTATTTAATTTTTTCAAAGGACTAAAACTCAATTTTATAAAGAAAATATTTAAAAATTCAGTGTATTTCTTACACGATATATTGTAGCGAGAGCGCGTGGAGTGTAGAAGCAAAGACTGACCGAATGCTCAAGTTCGTTCGTCCGGTGTAGCGTCATTTCAAAATTTATTACAGCTGTAAAATCATTAATTTCAGCTGGGGATACGACGAAAATTATATGAAAAAAATTACCTGGGGGATTATCCCGAAAAGAGCTTTGAGTATTGTAGCCCTATACTATACAAAACGTTTGATAAACAAACCCGTAGGCAACAACAGATCGGTATGATCATCTCGTCGTCCGCCGTGGACGCAATCACAATGAGCAAGTCACCTTGACTTCCGCTTCCTTATTTGGCAGTATTAATATTCTTGTAAGGAACACTTCGTATATAGGGCCTTCATATGTCGTTTTATGCGACACCACGATAATGCAATTATAAAGAACGTCTGCTTGATTGTTGTTTATCCCAATTCGTTTTTGCGAATCACGCGTTTTCATGTTAATATTAACCAAATCGAAAAATTGATTTTTTGTAGATTTAAGATTGCCTTAAAAGAAGCTTAACAACCGGAAGTCTATACTTACCACAAAGGTTACGGAGGTATTGTGTATATTTGATAATTTGAAAATATATGCTAATTTTCAACCGACTTAAAAAAGGAGGTTTTCAATTTGAATGTATTATCTTCATTTGTATTAAAATATGAAAAAAGATTCTGAGGATCTTTTTTCTAGGTGAACCTATTTTGATGATTCCTTTTTTATTTAAAAGCTGGTGCTTCTCATGTGGTCCCATATAAATTTAATTAAGATCCGACCAGCAGTTTTTGAGTTATCCTTAACTAGCGATCCGCCCCGGCTTTGCACGGTTGATTTTGCTTTGCACCTACCGGGTCCGAATGTGAATTATGTTTATATTAATATCTAATATCCCTAATTCATCTAAGTACCCATTAAACACACACAAAAAATTTCATCAAAATTGGTTGGATAATGCATATTTAATTGACTTCGACTACATTGATGATGTTCTCATTTTATTTATATTCACGTCGGTTGTACAACATTTTTTTACCACTTGTTTTCTGTCTTTAAAACTAAAAAGTTGTGTTTTCATCTCTAAGTAACTCGAAGTACTCTTTCGTTATCCGTTAGCTTCACAAAATCCAAACATTAATCTTTATGCAAATAAGGTAAACAACAGTCCACCTGAAGTAGGTAGGTTTATAAGTGGATGCTGTGTTTCGTAGACATCTATTGTTTTCCACACGCACGCGTCATACACTCGCAGCGATATGTTACTATTTTACGCTGGTAAGCTAGTGTTCTAAGAGATTAAGGATGTCACCAATTGTTTACAGAATGACTTTACATACACATATAATAAGCGTAGTATAAATATTTAGCTACATATTTATTTTAATAATAAACTCCCGGTCAAAATATAATGCTTGATCATAATATAAGGTTGAAGCCAAAGCAAGCGACAGGACAAAGGTATACCGCTAAACAAACTATTGTGCATGGTGTCTGAACATTATTCAGATAATAGCTTAATTTAAAATTAAGGCACATAAAAACACATGGCACATAAAGGTATATTATATAGGTATGCCAATACATTATTAATTCTATTATCCTCGAAAAGTTTATCACATAGCCTTTATTCGCAAAATAACGCGGGTAGAAATCGACCACGAAGCAGTCGATTTGCACCGGCGGCCATAATGCCATCGATCATTACCAGCTCTATCGCCGCACGAAAGACTGCTGCGTCTTTCTATACCACATGAGTAGATAAACGGATTAGAGACAAAGCTTTTTAAGAACGTGCAAAATTGTTACCTATTTTGGTAGGGTTGTTGTCACAATACGTGAAGACAAATTAAAAAAAACTTTTGCTAAGGCTTCCGTCTAGCTTTGCTGTTTTACATTCCCAGCTATTAGAGGGGGCGCTCTCCCCCGTGCATAAATACGTTCGAGATCACAGGTGAAGGTTGCTCTACTTCATTAAATATATAATTATAATTTTTTTACAAAAATATTCCTTTTACTTTTGTCGGTTTTACCCTTTTATATTTCATTAAATGTCGTTTTTAGTAATGTTTACACGGGTGTAGTTTTAAAAAGGGTATTATACAACCGAAGGAAAATAAAAACTGCCCCTTCATACAAATTTCGCCTCTACCTTGTACATTTTGTACTTTACTACTATTTTTACTGACACAAGGATATTTCTTCTTTTTTCTATCCATCTTTTTCCGTTTATTTTTTGTTTTGGTAATAAATTGAAATTCTCCAAATATAAAAGTCCAAGTTAATTAATCTAATACTAATATTAACACTAATACACTAAAAACTAGAACTAATATGACAATTAAATAAAAATAATATATATTTAAATAGAGCAACTTTCACGATATGCTCCGCTCAGTCCATAAGAGCTGCGCGAGGGAAAGAGATCAACCGTGCGAGCGAGAGGTAAAGTAACGTTGAGCAACACTGCACACGTCTGAACGCCGAGAAATCCCAGCGGAACTGAGAGAATTTTCAGGCGTTTCTGGTTTATTTGAATATAGGTAAAAAGTACGAAAATATATATTTTTAATTTTATTTGTTTGTAATTCGCTTGAAAATAGTTCGATTTTATGTGGTTTTATTACAACTTTTTAAGCCCTTCAAACAAGAAAATTAAAGCATTTATAAAAAAAGCGACCAGATCAGATTATTGTAGACAATATGTAAATAAATGTTATCTGAATACTTTTCTTGATTATGTTATAGTTTGTACATAGCAGAGGCTTTAATTTGATTCACTGGCGCTGCGAAGAGATGTTGCATCTCTTTGCATTTTCTTTCGCATATACCATGGGGAGTGCTCCGCCAAATTTCGGAAACGCACTACGCGGCAAACGTCCCGATACCATCCACACCATCTGGATGCTTGGCGATCCACCACTGTACGTTTCAAAGGGAGTTTTCTTCCGCGTACGACCTCCCTGTGGAATAGTTTACCACCGGCGATTTTTCCGGACCGATACGACCTGGGGACCTTCAAGAAAATAGCTTACTCCTTTCTAAAGGGCCGGCAACGCACCTGCAATTCCCCTGGTGTTGCGGTTGATCATGGGCGGCGGTAGTCACTTAACATCAGGTGAGCCGCATGCTCGTTTGCCCCCTCTTCTATAAAAAAAAAACCTTTTACGCATGTAACCTAAACATGGCACGTTTAACGTCTAATAGAGCTATTAATTTAAACACCAAAATAAAATTAAAAACAGTTTCGAAAATATCAAATCCTACACTTTAAATAAATGTAAAATGTGTTTACCTTTTTCTTTTTTAAATACTATAAAAAATATTTGTTTTGCTGTAAGTTTTGCGAGAACACTAATTTTTACAAGGCTGGGGCCTTAAACAGTTTTATTATTCAGTATGATAGAATACTTTACAAATTACTTAGGTACTCTAATAATTTTTCTTTTTATCATTTTTGTTTTTTTAATAATTAATTGTTTCTTTTAATGGTGTGATAAATTCTAAATCTAACATAAGGTTTTTTCAAGTAATCTAACGGGAAACACTCACATGGCATATAAAATTTACAATATTTAATTCGTTTAAGTATTTCTTTGCCAACATTGACAATATTTATTTCAAGATCGAAATAGTCGCGAAACTTTCGTTCGAGCAATTCAACAAATTCGATACAACTATCAGGAGGTATAATTAAAAAATCCAATTGTACGTTACCCTTACCATCATTAAAATCCTTGTAATGGCTAAATAGAGAATCTGCCCATATTAAGATCATATTCAGATCTCTTAAAGGGGTTGAACTTTCTCCGAACCTCAACTAGGGGCGGTTCATTGAGACCAGAGCCAAAGCAGCCGCAAGGAAACTTGGTGTTCTTGCAAGGGTGCGGCGGTACTTCACGCCGGGACAGCTTCTTAACTTATATAAAGCGCAAGTCCCGTCGTGCATGGAGTACTGCTGTCACATATGGGCTAGTGCCGCAAAATGCCACCTGGCAGCGTTGGACTCAGTGCAGAGACGTGCTAAGAGGCTCATCGGTGACCTAGATTTGGTTAAAACCAACCTTGTCAGCCTCGAGCACAGGCGCAGAGTAGGCAGCATCTCGGTATTCTATAGGATGCATTTCGGAGAGTGTGCGCAGGAATTGCACGCTTTAATTCCTCCCTCTCCTTTCCACCATCGAACGACCAGGCGGTTGGCGGATCTTCACCCCTTTGTTGTCGATATTCCACGCATTAGAACCAAACGGTTTCCTTCGACTTTTTTAATGCGTACAGCAAAGGAGTGGAATAATTTGCCGGTGTCTTCCGTCCGAATACAATCTGGGTATCTTCAAGGCAAGAAAGAATAGGCATTTGTTACAGTACGACAGTGTGAATTACTAAGGTATATCATTATATATTATTATTTTGTCTAGTATTATTCATACACACAGTACAATAAACAACCATAATTAAATTAAGATTGAATTAAGAGTGGAATGCCTCGTTTCCAATAAAAAGAGTCTCCGGTTCTCTACACTCACCATATGAAACACAGCAGCGTTAAGTTGCTATTTACGCTCGTATTAACACATAATTTAATATTAATTTACATAAATTCGACAACAAACTGGATCGACAAAATAGCCCATTAAGTAGCCATAATTGGTAATGGTTTAATACATTAATTTCAATTGAGGTTATCAGTTGCTGTTATTCGCTTGTTTCCGTTCACAAGTTCAACAGAACACAATCAATACGTGGAAATGAAAATAGTATAATTCACTGAAATTACACATTGGTTAATAAATTCACATTCAATATCTTAAGAAGCAGAAACGATTATAATATATATTCTTCCGGCCTATTACTCCTATAAATAAAGGAAAACTCCCTAATAATAAAGCATCTAAATGTTAACATAAAAGATTTTTAATATAGGTAATTGTTTCTTTCTATTACTTTACAGGTTGGTTTTAATAAATTTTTTTGCTGTTATAGTTACATACTATTTGAATTAAGTAGAAACGTAATTTTCCTCGATTTAATTACATTTCTCTTAATTAATACTTTTATCGAATATTAATGCAATATATAGTGGAAACTTATGTCTAAAGAAACACACTCGTAGTCCATCTAACGGTACCTAAGTAGCCTCTGCACAGCAACCAATAAAACCTACAGCCAATTCTAGATAAAGAAAGTTATAGGTGCACTGATACTCCTGAGAAAACGATGAAATGTCTTATAGATCATAGTCTGCAATTATTAATATCGTATTAAAAGAAAAATATAAGAATACTTGACTAAATGCCGTTTGTCAGCCAAATGTGTGAATCATACTGCACTACGCCAGGGTAATTTTATCCATAACTACGCGGTATAATATGATCGGGTAATGAGTCACAGTCTGATACAGGATACAAGGCGTAAATGTACTCAGTAACCCTATTCGTTATTTTGTCCAATTAACTTTAAACTATAATAACAACTAATACGACAGAAAACCCTACATACGTTTGGTTATAATTAGTGTGATTTGTGTTTGAAGTGTACGCATATGACCCACACACACAATTTTAGTTCTTTCTACAATGTAATAAGATATTATATGTGTTCACGGCTGGAAGCTTTAATTAACTGCGCGGTTGGACATGTAGGGCCGGCAGACGAGCTTGTTTATTGTGATGACAAGCAATTGAAGTAGTGGCAAGCGATAATTCGAAACAGCGTTGTTGGTACTTCCACATAGGTATCGTATTTATAAATAGAACGCGATTTCAACAAAAGTAAGGCATGCCGCGCACTAGGCAGCCTGGCTGCGGCGGCCGAAATATTTGAGCAGCACTTCAGGCAGCCTGGCTGCGGCGGCCGTTTGACAGCCAATGGACAGCCAGTTGCGTTCCTTTTTTCGAGGGATATGGACGTGGAAGAACTTGTAATTTTGTGCGTATCTCGTAAAAAAACGCAAAGTTAAAAGACATTGGATTCATCCTCTCTTTCTAGAACGGCACTCAAAAGGCTTATTTTATACCTATTTTAAAGATTTTCGTAAATACCCAGACCGGTTTTTTAACTACACGAGAATATCAGTGCAATCATTAGATAACCTTTTGGAAAATATAATAAATTCAATCAAGGGCACTGATACTCCTATGCGAGCTTGTATAACTCCAGAAGAAAAATTGGTGATTACATTGAGGTAAGTGCTAAAATAATAAATACTGTTAATTGTTTATAACATTTATTCTTTATTTCTTACATTTATGCTAAAGAATTTTCCTGAAATAGTTCAAGTAATTCAGAATTCCGAGACGTATCTGTTACATTTGTGTCAGATGGAGATAACACCTCCGTATATCCGGTATTGTCTTGCTTGTCTGGAACAGACGTAGAATATGCACGGCGACTTTCACTGCTCGAGGCTTCTGGCCCGTAATTTGACTGCGTCGAGTATCCATGGCGATATTGCCCACTGCTCGAGATTTCCGGCCTATATTCAGTTGAGTATTCATGGCGATATTGCCTACTGCTCGAGTTTCCCGGTCCATATTCAGTCGAGTATCCATGGCGATACTGTCCACTAACCGATGTTTCTGGTCTAAATAATCTGGCGGTTGATGTCCCTGGTTCATAATCAATATGACCTTGGCGAAACACACCAAATTCGGAATTGTAAGTTTCCATAAAAGGCATTTGAGCTCTTTTTATTACGTCAATTAACTCCATTCTCGTAGAAAGTTTACGATGTTTCGGAATGTTCTTGAAATCTTCTAGAAGCGAAAGCATAAATAGTCTATCTGAATCAGATTCTTACTTTCTTTCATGTTCTTCTCTTATTGCGATACTTTCCTTTAATACTTGAACCAAATTTTCATCGTCACATGTCTTCTTCTTTTTGGAAACGGGTCGTTTACCTTGAATACAATCGCTGTCATCGTTGGTTTCCGCAGGGCGTGTTTCACCCATGCTATTTTGAGTTTCATTATTTATTACAGTGGCCTTAAGAAACTGTAGTTGTTCGAAATATACGTAAGGACTCTTACACGAAGCTGCTGCTCTACTTTTAGCACCGGCTCTGCGTTTTATTTCCCTGCTGTAACTAGTCCTGATGTTCTTCCACTTTTACTGTAGATTTACCTGAAAATTAATATAAGTACTTTATTACACATATCTTGCTACAGGCTGTTCTATGATGGAAATCAGCCATAATTTTCGGATTGGACATACCACTGTCCGAGATGTCATATATGAAATTTGCATGGCGATTTGGGAGAACATGGGACAGTCAACGTTTCCAGAATTAAATGAAGAAAGGAGGCTCGAAATAGCAAAAGGTTTAAATGAAAATGCAAACTATCCCAATTGTATTGGTGCCATCGACGGGAAGCATATAAGAGTAATTAAACCCAGCAACTGAGGATCACTTTATTATAATTATAAGAATTATTTCTCAATCGTTTTACTTGCTGTATGCGATGCGGATTATAAGTTCACATATATAGAAAATGTAGTGACTCATCTATATTTAAACAATCTATTTTGTATCAAAAAGTCGTCAATAACGATATACGAATCCCGGAGAAGAGCCCCATATCAAATAATGGTGTACCGATGCCATACGTCATTGTGGGAGATGAGGCATTTGGTTTATCTGAAAATTTGATGCGACCTTATGGAGGAAGGCGTTTAACAGCCAAAAAAAGAATCTTTAACTATAGACTGTCTCGGGCAAGGCGGCACATAGAATGCACTTTTGGGATTCTGGCAACACGTTTACTGGTAAGCCATGCTGCTACAAAAAGTGTAGCACAATGGTCGCTCACCGGGGAAGGACCACTCTCACAAATACCAGCGTGAAATAGTAGCTTAATGCTGCTGTATTCGTATGGTGAGTGTAGAAACCGAGACCCTTTTTACTGGAAACGAGCATTTCATCTCAGTCCTCACACAACCTATAAAAAGATCGGCCACACCACAATCCTATAAAAAAAAAAAAAAAAAAAAAAAAACAAATGGAGAATTTTTCACCGTCCACTGAATGTCCGACAAGAATTTGCAATTGCCATAGTACGAGCATGCTGTGTCTTACATAATTACGTGCGCGAAAGAGATGGTTATAGACTTAAAGACACACTGTACGTTCCTCCAGACTTCGAAATAACCCCAGGTCCCTTAAATAGAGGGAGCCGATCATCAGCATCTTATAGACATTTATTTGCGGATTATTTTATCAATGAAAATCCGCTAGAATGACAAAACCAATATGCATTGGGATAGTAGGTACCTACCTACTATATACTTTTATTAACTTAAGTATATAAACAATAAACTAAAAATATATCCATAGAATAATAAAATACTAAGTAAGTAATAAAAAACATAACGTACCAAATTCACTTTTTTCATTTGCTGTTAAATTGTCCTCGCACATTATATTTGTGATTTCTTCCCATTTTCTTTTCTTTACATCACGATCACTGTATTCTTCTGAAGATATATCCCATATTGCTTTACGGTTTTCAATTTCGCGAATAAATTTCTCCGTATCGAAAGTCATTTTGTGATTTCAGATAACAAAATACGTCTGGCTGCTACGACAAGTGCGCGGTGACTGACGGCAGCCAGCAGCCCAGGGTTGCCGTTCTCTAAATTTTAAAGTCCCTAGACTAACAGAAAAAATCCGCCAGAAACAGCATTTTTCTTTTTCTTAAAATCCGCTAGAAGTCCCTAGGTACATTGTTGTGCTACTATAGATAGACTAAAACAAGAATTATTCATGTACAAAATAAAAAAATATTGTGAAAAATAAATATTTAATCTTTAAACAACGTTTAAACATTAGTCACCATATTAAAAATAAAACAATTAGGTCAGTACGTTCCTGGACCTGAATTTCAAAATCAATAGCGAAATTAGGATCCAGATCTTCAAAAAGAACTTCAGCGGAAGTTGAAGCTTCGCCAATGTCTCCAGTTCCTATCTTTGCAAACCAAAGACCTTTACCGACTTGGTTGACAACATCTTCAGGAATGTCATTTTCATTGCGCAATTTTTTTTAATCCTTTACCGATTTCTAATCAGAAGAAGGCAAATTGAACTATGTTTAGCAATGTACAAAGCTAATGTGCATTCAGCTCTTGAACAATCTTTGCATATTTTTGTTGCAGTGGAAGAAAATGTCAGCTGTTTATTTTGGGAAAGCAATTCGTATTGTTTTTTATGTTTCTTCGCTAATAAATCCTTTTTAAGGTCGTTTAATTTCGCTTACATTTCAGTCACCTGGTACGGGTTTCAGACAATGTTTAAATTCTTCATTATTTTCCCACTTATTTCTGTAATTCCAAACTGCCTAATCTTGATAAGTAATATTTTTCACGTGGAATATTCACAGTTCACACACAACAGTCACAAAATATGAACTCTAAAGAAATGGGCCTGCCGAATGAAAAATTGGTAACGTGAGCGGTATTTTTATCTCACTCATTAGTGGTAGTAATAAACGAAACAGATGATAAGTGAACGAACGTCATTGAATTGTTACTTTTTGTTCGGGAATTCCCGTGATATTATATTACATGTGCAGTCTTACCAGTGGTAGATTACGAAATTGAACGTACGATAAAGGTAAATAATTTATAAAAATGTCGCCATCTCAAAAGTCCAAACGTCGCTAGAAGTCGCTAAATAATTATTTCTCGCTAAAACGATTTTTTTATCCGCTAAACATTATTAAAATCCGCTAGATGTAGCGAGAAAGTCGCTAAAACGGCAACACTACAGCAGCCACATACATTCGCCGTACTCGCTCTGGCTGCGCGCAGCCAACGGGCTGCCGTGAAATCGGGCGCGTTTTTATGGCTGCCGCAACCGGGAGTTCGTGGCTGCTTAGTGCGCGGGCTTCCATACACCGTCATATGTTCGACTGGCTGCCGCAGCCTGGCTGCCGCAGCCTGGCTGCCGCAGCCAGGCTGCCTAGTGCGCGGGGGGGCTTAGTGGCACTGTCAGATAATGACGATAATGTTTATATATTATATATATTCGCCTGGAGGTGGCTACTTCCAAATATGTCAATATGCTATTAATGGCGCCGAAGATGCTGGCTTGCAAGTATGCGCTGCAGACCAAAGATATTAAGATACCAGTACCAAATTACTATAATAACTATAATAATTATGTAAACTATTATAATAAAAAGATCATATGTAGCTGAAACTGAATATATATGGGATTCAAACTTAGGATCCACAACTCATTAATGTGATACTTCAACCAGGTAGGAAACAATACAACAATTATTTAAATATTGTATCAATAATTAGTAAAATTACTTTTGTTTTGTCCGGCTGTTTAGACGCTAACGGAGCAAAACTTTAAGAGCCGTACGTACCCATCCGGAACGTCACAACAAGAATCTTTAGCGATTCATAATATAAAAATGTATATTAGATACTACTCTGAGGTAGCTTGCGTGGTAATGGCTTGGCGCCGAAGAATAACAACATGAAGAAACCCAGAAACATGAGAAGTTTGCCAACACGTATTGGGTCAGCAAGGCGAAGATATGCTTGCCCTAAAACTCAGCTGGAAGCCTGTGCCCAGGAGTTGGCCGTATATAGGCTGAAACTTTGCTTTTGGTAATTAATATACATAAACGTTGGTTATGAAATACAAGCTCACTTCCCGACACTAGGCTCACCTGGAAAGTAGTCAAGGGAAATGCCTGGGAAAATCTTTAAAAATAAAAACTTGCACACCAAAACATATTTTAAATGTCAGCCTTATAAAAGCGTGTCATTTTTTACATATTTGGGGTGGTAATGTAGAAATTCCGCTAACGCTGATGTGGTACTCTTCAGGGTATGGAACTTTTTATTCCTTCCTCTGTGGTGCCCATTGGAGGCAAATCTCAGCCATGGTTTGGTCGATCCTGTAAAATAGCAACATGCTATAAGCAGGAGTGCTACCAAGCCCGGGCTGACGCATCAGCGTCCCGGGATGTAAGCACCAGCGCTCTAAAATAGAAGTATAATTCCGCCTCTAGGTCCTTCAAAAGAGTCATTGCCAAGGCAAAGTCAGAGCACATAGGCAGAATTGGCGAGAAACTAGTTCGCTTTCCTTCTGGAACCCGTGCATTCTGGTCTGAATTTCTGTCAGCCATCTCTTCCAACTCTGCACACAGAGGACGATACACTGGCCCATACCGCAAAGGAGAAAGCCGATCTCCTGGGCTCTTTCTTTGCGTCCAACTCTACTCTCGATGAGGGGGAGAGTACGCCGCCGACCATCCCGCGGTGTGAGTGCTCCATGCCGGAAGTGCAGTTTACACAGCGCTCGGTTCGCAAAGCACTCCTCTCCCTGGACACAAGTCGAGTGGGCCTGACGGAATCCCCCCAATTGTGCTGAGGACGTGTGCTCCAGAGTTGGCACAGGTTTTAAATGTCAGTCAATCCATTACAGTCAAATCCTTGTAATGGATTCCTTTATTATTGTTTGTAATTTTTTATTTCTCGTAAGCGATTTGTAATCTTTTGAGAAATAAATAATATCTTAAACCTAAAAAACCTTTAACGCATCTTTTCCGGTACTCCTACCCCCTAGGCGTAGACCCAAAATCATGGAAGACGGCTATTATCCACCCGATCCCTAAAACAGGCGACCGCTCAGACCCGTCCAACTACCGACCTATCGCCATCATCTCCTTGTTCTCCAAAACAATGGAGTCTATTGTTAACTGCCAGCTCATGAGGTACCTTGAGGATCACCAGCTGATTAGTGACCGCCAATACGGTTTTCGCCGTGGTCGATCAGCTGGTGATCTTCTGGTCTACCTAACTCATAGATGGGCGGAGGCAGTAGAATCCAAGCGGGAGTCATTGGCCGTTAGTTTGGACATTGCGATGGCCTTCGATCGGGTTTGGCACAAAGCGCTTCTTTCGAAGCTCCCTTCCCATGGGCTTCCCGAGAAATTGTGCGATTGAATAACCAGCTTTCTTGCAGATCGGAGCATCAAGGTAGTTGTAGACGGCGCAAGCTCCGATTACAAGCCTATTAATACTGGTATTCCACAAGGCTGCATGCTACCGTCAACGTTGTTTTTTCTGCATATCAATGATATGTTGCAAACCCGTAACATTCATTGCTATGCAGATGACAGCACTGGTGATGCTCTGTACACCGGCCGTGCCAATATTTCTCGGGGAAACGTCTCCGAGTACCGGGAGAAACTTGTGTCCGAAGTCGAGTCTTTGCTGAACAGAGTCTCGGATTGGGGGCGACTAAATCTAGTCCAGTTTAACCCTCAGAAGACACAAGTTTGCGCGTTAACCGCTAAAAAGAACCCCTTTGTCGTATCTCCTCAGTTTCAAGGCACTCCCTTTGTTACCTCAGCCAGTATCGGAATCCTCGGCGTCGACATATCGAGTGACGTGCAGTTTCATGATCACTTGGAAGAGAAGGCCAAATTGGCCTCTAAAAAGCTTGGCGTGCTCAGCAGAGCGGGACAGTGTTTCATGCCGGCACACCGCCTGCAACTTTACAAGGCGCAGGTTCGGCCGCACATCGAATACTGTTCCCATCTCTGGGCTGAAGCTCCCCAGTACCAGCTCCTTCCACTTTACCGCATCCAGCGCAGAGCGGCTCGAATCGTCGACGAACGAGTGCTTTCCGATCGGCTCGATTCAATGGCGCTGCGAAGAGATGTTGCATTTCTTTGCATTTTCTTTCACATATACCATGGGGAGTGCTCTGAGGAATTGTTCGTATTAATTTTTCCGGCGAAAGCGGAAGGCGATTTTTCCGGATCGATACGACCTGGGGACCTTCAAGAAAAGAGCTTACTCCTTTCTAAAGGGCCGGCAACGCACCTGCAATTCCCCCTGGTATTGCGGTTGATCATGGGCGGCGGTAGTCACTTAACATCAGGTGAGCCGCATTGCTCGTTTGCCCCCTCTTCTATATAAAAAAACCCACCCAGGTAGAAAAGAATCAATTCCAATTCTGACCTGAAAATTTTCGAAAGCGTCTAGTGATGTAAAATATCTTATAAAATTGATCTTTTTTTTGCTTATTTCGAATCGCATAATTGAATTTTCTAATAAAGCCAGGAAAAAGAGTAATGTTAATATGTTTATCACTTTCAATAGACTTTTGGAGACGGAACGAGTTCTACAATGACTTAAAGGCCCAGAAGCCATGCCAAAACATATTTAAAAAAACGTGTTTGTCAATGACAGTCCGTCATTTGTTTGAAGTTAGCGATGTCAACCGATTACAATTTTATGCACCGGTATAAACTGATTAGTAATTAAAAAAAAACCGGTTTTCTTAGGTTTTTTTTAGGTTTTTAGGATCCAAATGACAATGAAAAAATTGAGTTTCTCTAATACTTATTAAACTTTATTCAATAAAAAAAAAACTTTTTATTTTTAGTTAAATGATTAAATCATAATTTTGGTGGATAAAACAAAGTTGATCTACTGCATCACCTAGCAACAATTCGCGATGATAAGAAATAGCCGGACGTTGAAAACATTCGTTTCGAAGGTACAGAAGTCACTGGCACTGACAGATATTTTAAAACCATGTTATTAAGCGGCGCCAAATGTTTATTTGTTTTTAGTAAATGTCAGCAACCTCTGTATGTTTGTCTTCTCGCTCAGGCAATTGATAGAATCAGAAACCTTCCGGTAAATAAATACAATGATGTGTCTTCATTCCAGGTAAGATACATCATTGTATTTATTTAGCAGAAGGTTGCAAAGAAATTTATATTTTTATTTCTCGCTCAGGGTCAATCTCGGTTTCCATATACATGCGCAGTATGTTTACTGCAGAAGCAGTTGCATATGGAACACCACTCTCAGTCCTTCTTTGTTTTAAGAAACCATCCAACAGACGACTTCTAAAAAAAATTCACAATTGCTATGCATTTTTTGATAACTTCTTCCGCCTGTGCGAGCTGTAACGATTCTTCGACGTGTGCCGGCACACTTTCAATGAAATCACACTTTTTTTCATAATTTAAATATTATCAGTCACAATAGCAGCAACTTTGTTATGAAGTGTCCATTCCATTCCGATGTTCTTCATGATTTCGGCCAAATTTTCAGAAGTATGCGAATTATTAACTTCCGATGTTGTCAAAACGACTAATTTTTTCAGATAACATTCATGAAAAAATGTACCGTACATTTCATTTCACGGTACATTTGACCATAGATCTGTGGTTAGTGCGACGTATTCTGCATTTTTTTAAGAAACTCTCTAGCTGCGTCTCACCTTTGCGTATAAAGCGGGTATCGATTCATATCTAATTTTTTCTCTTAAAGCCAAAGCTCCTACGGAGAATGGCTAGAAATTGGTGGCGATCATCAATGTAAGGTTGCCAACATGCAAAATAAATCGGTTATTTAACTAGAACCGGTACATACCGGTTTTATCAAAAACCGGTTTTTATCAGGTTTTCTTAAAACCGGTTGACATCACTATTTGAAGTTTTGCAGTCGTTCGTTAGCTTTCCCTACGTTTTGTACTGTGCGATTTTGGATTTTCTGATACCCTTACAACTTGCATTTTCCACGGACTTCGATACCTTCCACTCACGATTACTTTGGCCTGTGTAATACGGATACCGATTTAGCTTTTTGATTGGGATCTAAGACGTTATCGTACTTGTTGGAAAGCGTTATGGAGCCTTCTACGAGAATGCTATGTATAAACTGTAACATATGTATTAATACGCTTCAGCGTTATCGGGCCCTTCAGCTTGATAGCAGAGTCATCTCGCTAATTAGCACTTGGATATCTCCAGTAATAGTAAGTAGTAATAACATACAACATATAACATATAACATACAACAATACAATAGTAGTAGTAAGATTTTACCCATGTTTAGCTAAAGTGTCCTTTAGGACAGTTGTCTAAAATAAAAAATAAAACATGTAAAAATACAAATTAAATGTGCCTATTTCAATTTATGCTTTATAATCTCATAATTGATTTATTTTTCAGATTACGGAAGAGGACTACATTTGTGAAGCGTGCTTTGATGTATCCATGCAGTCTATTAATGCTCAAATTCATGGAAACAATGAGTGTCATCCATCTGCTTGTTCATCTCGCCTTGGTCATACTCAAGTGTGCCCCGTTTGTGGTCGATCATTGCTCAATCGTCAAAGTGACCATATTCACAAAGAAAACCCATCAAGCCTCACACTAAGAATGATCAACTTAATTCGAGTTACTGTAGCACCTCGTCAGGTTTGTATTTAAATATTCAATCTCATTTTAAACTGCATGCAATTTTTTCATTAAACTTCACATTCTAATCTATGACATTACTAGGTATGTCACTGCATTTATTACAAATATGTTGTTTTTTTGTTGACAGATATCACAATATGATCGTGTATGTCATGCCTGTTGGTTGAGGTTTAAAAGACAAGCTCTTTTAACTCAACAACAGGATGAAAGAAGAGGCTTAGAAGGTGATGAGACTCCTCACGGTCAAGAAGAAGTGGAACAGCCTGTTGATGCAGTTCATGTTCCACAATTACAACCTCCCCCGTTTCTTGCAAGTACAGATGAAAGGGATTCGTCTGTAGAATCAGTTGCAGCTCCAGAGGTTCATTCGCTACAATCTCAAACCCAACAATCAAGTAACATTACATTACATAATTATAAACGTGCTCCCAATACAGCATCTCATTGTGCATTTTATGGGTGTGAAAATTAAAATCTGCATACTGTGTCAGATGCACTGCGGGCTACCATTTTGTGCAACTACAATTTTTATATTCCCAAACTGGCAAGAGTATGCACATACCATTTACATGGAAACAGTTGGAGTTCCCTTTATACCAGTGAAAACAGCATGAGCGATTTCACTGTTGAACAAGTTGAGCATGTTTTTTCCTTTGTTCAAAAATACAAGCATTTTCTCGATTTTTCAAGCATAGAATCATTACAAGAAATTGACGACAATTTATTTGAATTTTGGATTGGCTTGTCAAAATTGAAATTCCTTAATTTGTTAGAAGACCTTCCCCGACTGTTGGAAAAACATAGGGGTGTATTAGGTCTAGCTGCTGTATTGATAAAGATGCGGACAGGTGATTCCGACTTAAGAATATCAACATTGCTAGAAGTTCCTCGTACTACACTAGAGAGGTTAATGCAAACAGCACGAGAGGTACTGCTACAGGATTTTGTTCCATGTAACCTTGGAATAAATCACTTGCCGAGAGAACAATTAATAGAACACAATCTAATCATTCCGAATGGAATTTACAATGAAAATAATAAACAATGTATTGTGATGTGTGATGGAACATACATTTTTTTAAATAAAAGTGGCAATTATATGTTTCAAAAAGACACATATTCTTTACACAAATATAGAAATCTGTTAAAGCCATTTTTAATAGTTGCCTGTGACGGTTACATTTTAGATTGTTTTGGCCCATACAAAGCTACCACATCTGATGCCGATATAATGTCTTCTTTGTTCAGCAACGAAAATTCCCCACTGAGACAATACTTTCAAGATAATGACATATTTATTTTAGACAGGGGATTCAGAGACAGCATCAGCTTATTGGAGCATTGTAATTATAAGGCATATATGCCAGAGTCACTTCTGGAAGGTGAACACCAGTTAACCACCACCCAAGCAAATAGAAGTAGATGTGTAACTATTTGCAGATGGGTGGTGGAGGTTGTAAATGGATATTTTAAAAGAGATTTTAGATTATTAAGGTTTGACAATTTTAATAAAACTGTACCAAATATGATGGCTTATTTCCAAATTGCTGCAAGTTTAATAAATAAGTTTGGTGTTCGTCTTCGCAATAGAGCTGATGCTGCTCAAATTCTTGGTATAATAAATGAAAGGATGCCCTTGGAAAATAACTTAATTAATATAGTTACAGAATATAATTTAAATCGCCGGGCATCCTTTTTTCAAAGCATTACAGCTGATACTGCTAATATTGAGTTTCCCCGTCTAGAATACAGTGAATTAATATTATTCGCCTTGGGAACGTACCAAATTCGCCAAGCGCGTTCATATTATGGTGAACACGTACGTTTCCATGGCGGATACAGGATAGAAGTTTGTCAGGATACTAATAATATACCTGAGTTAGGCAGTGGGGAAAATTCACTTATAAAAGGAAAAATAAAGTCTAGACATATCTCAAGACGTCAGTACTATGTGTACATTTTGATTGCAAATGGTGTTGATGGACGAGAAGGCATTGTAGAGTATTGCTGTAACTGCATTGTAGGACGTCGCACTGTAGGTTGTTGTGCGCATATTATGACAATGGTGTGGTACTTGGGTTGGGCCAGGCATGAAACCAATATTGAGCCTCCAGCTGCATTTTTAGATGAAGTGGTCATACGAGAAGACAATGAATAAATAAAAATAAATCAAATCGTGTTTTTTATTTAATTTCCCTGTTCTCGCCAAAAACATGTAGAAAAGGTAGCTCTTTTTGTTATCTATTAATGTTGTGATGGCCCATAGGTTACAACTCGCCTCTTATGCACAGGCTGTGAGTTCAAATTCAGGCAAGTACCAATGTGTGTCTTTCAATGCGTAGGTACGTATTTTCTAAGTTTATCTTACAATGGGGAAGGAAAACATCGTGAGGCAACCTGAACTCAATAATCATATGGTAGAAGTATAATAATCAAAATAAAAGTCTGAAACTGCCAACTCATCTTGACTCTGCTTGGTGATTAATGCTGCTGCTTACTCTGTATGAAAAGAGGTCTTTTCCCAGCAGTGGGGCCGTATTATTATGCTTATATTAGGTATTATTTACTCTCTTTCTCCGTTCATCAGACTTTTAGAGTTCGATGGCAGAAAGCGTCGCCTGTCAGGACGACTCCTTGAGTCAATCTGTTACGACGACAGATTTTGACCGATAATTAAATGAACTATACGTATATTGTTCTAATTTGCATAAAGTGTAGTCTAAAAATCAACATAGGCGAGATATTACGAAAACGTAACTGCTATTTGTGACCGCGCACAGATGATAATATTACATTGAAGAGGGATTTATTTCTGAGTGATTGTAACTCTCTCGGCGATTAAGAAACAATAACAGAGTACTTTTTGTATACCTGAAAGAAACAATTTGATTATAAACGTATAGTTTTTGAGGTTGCGACAGCTGTCAAATAAGGTTTGACAGCTGTCATAACCTGAAAAACTTATTTACTTAATAGCATTTTTCCCTGGCCTCTAAATGAAAAGGTAATAAGTTATTATGTTATTATAAACAATAATTGATTTTATGCAACAGCACTTGTAGGTAGACGCGCCCTGTAAAACAAATCAAGTGACAGGTCAATCAATGTATGGGAAGTGGGCATTCTTCTTTCTTAACGAAAAAACTCTATAACTGATTTTTTTTGGGCCGACTTGGGATTCGAACCCGACCCGATCTGATGATCAGCACGCACGTTTACAACCAACGCAACATTTATAAAAAAAAAAGCTTGCACTTCGGCTGTAAAGAAACACAATTTCATGAAACTTCTTTGGTCTAATTTCACGAATTGACAATATGGTTCATATAATCAAATCAAATCAAGAACAGACAAAACACAAACTAAGAAGCCTCAAGTTATAATCTACATACGTGAAAGTACTAAAGAAAGACGATAAGGCGTAATATAAATACATAGTTCCTTAGAGCAAACAAAACATGCTCAGAGTACAACTACACAGTGAATTAACAGCATCACATAAGGGCGCCAGCCGTTTTTAGAAAATTATAACCTACTAGATATAGAGAGAATTTAGTTATTCTCAGCCGACTTCGAACACTACGTCAGTTCCGAACATTTTCAAATAACTGATAATGAACTTCTTGCAATCGTATTATTTATTATTTACAAAAAACTGGCCCTCAGCGCAGAGGAATTTGTCATCTACAAACAAAAATTGAGTTCCGGGGAAAAATTATTTATAGGCCATACAAACAGTTGTCCCGTGAGGGATTCGAACCCTCGACCCAAAATGCCTGAGCCAGACACTTAGCCACCATGACATCGAGTTGAACTTCAGAACCTATGGATCTTGAAAAAAGATTTGGTTTTTGAGTAGTACCAAATTTAAATAACTATTTGCTACTATTTGGTACCTAATGTCAAATATTTGGTACCTTATTAAATAGAGAGAAAAAATAAAAATTGGTTAGTACGATGGCCGTTATTGTTTCTTGCCTTCCTGCAATTTTTCCTGTGCAATTAGATTTTTTTCATACTTCCTCAAAATACAGTTATAAAAATTAATTTTACCAACGTGACGTATATTTTTGTACAAAAAAAATATTATAGAATGAAGTCCACTACGACATTAATGTTTTCAATTAACTCTAAAGCAGTGTATAGAAATCGCTCGATCAGTCCGCGCTACAACTTTTTTGCGTGATAGTAGCGAAAAAAGACCAATTCTTATTTTTACAAACATGGAGTGCACTGACCCTATAATTGAATCGATTTGACTCGTTGGCTAAATGCCACTTGGCTAAAATTTTAATGCGGTGACCGCTACATATTTTACGCTTCAATCGTTTTGTCGGTCAAAATCTCAAAAACCGTGGGACACTTCAGCTGACGATAAACTATAGGATAAAGATGCTCAATAAAAGATACGTAAGTACCTAAAATTAGATAGTTCAATATTTTAAAAATTGTTTACTAAAAAATATAAGGGAAACATAATAAGCATGGCTGTCATTTGAATTCAACTTTACTTAATAACTCATATAACAGTAATTCACTTTTTTGAAAACGGCACTTAAAATTAGTTAAATAAGTACTAAAAAAGAAGCTCACGCCAGCCGCATGTATTGTCTATCAGACTCAGTGAAGTGCGTGCTTGCTATCTTTAAACTGTGGTAGTATCGCTGACTCAATCATTCGGTCGCGTTCAAACGTGCATTTAGGTACCGGCAAGCAGGCGAGTAAATACCCTCCCTACACCTCGACATTTCTCGGGAACAGATACGAAATTTTTTCGTTATCAGTTGCAAGGTATGTCGAATCATGAAAAATAAGTACATACTACCCGTGCAGTTAATGAATGGGATTTACAATGACGTCGCCTCTATTCACCTCTTACTCGCACACTGTTGCCATCTAACCGATTTTTGTGACCTTTGACCTTGAAATTTAATAGTTGCGTACACCCTACCAAATGTAGGTTTTGAGACAACTTTTCGGGTGTCAAATGTCAATATACAAGTATTTACAGCTGGGTATCTCGAATTCCGAGGTGAACTTACTATAATGACCGGACTATTATAGTGTACTCGTTATATGAGATACCAGTGGGCTCCTAAAATGAGATATCTCATGTTAGGTACCCCATATTGGGCCTTCGTTAGAAAAAATAGTTCTCATATGTAAAATATTCCATATTTATTGCAGACACCGCCTATATAAAAAAAAAAACAAATAAAATATTAAAAAGCGTCAAAAGGATATTGCGTTCCAAAAGGTATGTTGAAACGAACAGGAAGCAATATAAGCTTTCCACGTAAGTAAATAGTCGTTTAGGCTGACCTCCTGCACCTGCACTGTCGGAGGCAGTAGACACAAAACTGCAAATTACTGTAAGTGGACAAACGGTTTTGCAGCTTACGTTTTAATATCTTTAGTAGTAATTATAGCATTTCAGTTAGTTTAACGGCTGTTTATTTTCTAAAAGGATTC